AATGCTATCAAAAACACACAGCGAATCAGTTTGATTTGTGCGATCAAGTTTGGAGTGCATAAATTTCACATATCAATGATGCGCACATATCCGTACGAGTTCCCGAATAATTCTCCAAGACCGATGAACGGTGTACGGCAAGGCTGACAGCACAGGCGATATATCTTTTACGTCTTTATGTAGAATGTTTGACTTTCAGGCCTGTCATTATGGAGTTGGCTAACTTGCATGCGGAGAAGCGGGAAAACCAGCGAGCGTTTACGCCTTATGAAACCGCCTGATGTGACCTATTTAATGGAGGCAATAATAATCGCCTTTCTGCAGACGACATGTGTGGTGTATTATGGAATTTTCAGCGCGTAATATTTCCACGAATGCGTTCCTGTGCATATGTTTAAAAGAAGTAGTGGTCGCAGTGTCAGTAATAACGGCTTTAAATGCACCAACGTAAAATGGGTGTCCAGTATTACGCTAGCGTCAGGTCAAGCCCTGCGTATGAATGCAAAAGTGAGTTTGATTAAGGCGGTGGTGGTTCATTCAGTAGGAACAAAAATCTTGAGTTCGGTGTAGGTATCCCAGGAATTGTAGTGTGCTGTATTTCTGTAAATTTACATGTCTATCTCAATCTGTCACAAATTTTTTTCTTCCCCTGGTTCTTGACTTGAGAAACGACAATTTGAAAACACTTAAGAAAGGTATAAGAGTATATGATAAATTTAGAGGACCTATTTAAAAAAGTAAAACAGATATAAAGTGAAGAATTGAGATAAATATCAGCAGCCCAGGAGTAAGCATTCCTCTTCGTCTTAACTACGACACTTACCCCTGGAGACTGAGGTCCGATCTACCCTATCTGTGATTCGTAACGCTAGAAAATGAATAATCTGGACACTTCAAAATGTCGCAAATTGGCATCAACAGGTAACGGAAGCTGGTGCAGAACTGAAGATGGGCGAAATTACAGAAAGCTAGGTAACTTTGAATGCAATCAGTAAACGGCTGACTCAAAGCTCCACGTGTCTTCAGGATATACGCAGAAGAACCGAAAAGGTAACGTAATGACTCATAATTCCAACAAATTTCAAGAACCTACCCTCGGCCATGGCACTGTAGCGTCACACACTCCCCAAAATCAATAGCCTAGGGTTTGACGACTTCGACACTGATGCTGACCTCGATAGTTTAACTGGACTCGCTGAGCTGAAGGCACCCGGTCAAGCATCCTCGCCATTTGGCACGCTGTCGTGTTGCGTTGCACTGCTCGTATTCGACCCTCTAGCCAGTCAGTCGGAACGCATCGGTATCTTGGCACAACCATCCAAATATACTATTCCATCCGACTACGCTATCGTGTTCTTCCTTGGTCTCGTATTCGTGGGTATATAACAAGTTCGAATAATTAGTGATTGGTCTTTGCGTCTGTCAAGTTCGCACCAGGACAATTCCTAAATTGGTGGGCCCGACGTAATCACATATCCCGACCAATAACAAATATTGAATTGGTGAGCCTGTTCCACTTCATATTTGTTTACTGTTTTCATTTCGATAACATTTAATTAACCATTTACTGTACTTTCTCATGTCCGACCACACTCCCAAGCTTATTCGTATTAAGCCGACTACGAACATGATCCAACTCGTGCCATATTGGCCAGACAGTGAAGAAACGTGGTTTCTGTATGCCAAGGCCGATTTTCGAGAACAGGGCGTCTCAGATCCTCATTCTCGATTTCTTGCTGTCATACGGTCACCACTGCGAGAATTAAACAGGTATGTTACAGCACATATGTCTAATCCTGAAGTAAGTGATCCTTATGCACTTCTTAAGGCTGCACTCTTGAAGAAAAGCGATGTGACATCGCCAGCGTTTAGACAAATTACTTCGTAACATCGAGCTAGGCAGCCACTGAGCTACTGAAGTCCATGCACGCATGCGTGAAGTGATCGGTGCAGGAACATGCGACGATACCTTTTCCGAGAACTATTTCTCTCGAAACTACCGCAACCGGTGCGAACCGTGTTAGTGACACCGCAGTCAGTCCAACTCGATGGCCTGGCAGCCTCGGCAGATAAAATACTAGAGATTTCTGGCAGACCCGTCTCCAACGTATATTCTGTCTGCGGCAAACCAGAAAGCCAGGATTCATAGGTGACAAAGCTGTGCAACTCCGTTAAACAGTTGCTACGATCTCGAAGTCCCAGTTCACGTAGCACTTCACAGAAACGCACCTTGGCGCATGGCAGCAAATCGCGTGGTAGCCCCAAAACCAAACCTAACAGGATGGAAAACCCTGAATGGTGCTGGCACCACCCATGTAGGTCCGAGTTTAGCCATCGTTAGAACCAGACAATCAGGCGATGCGTCCTACCAAGCAGTTTTGGAGAAATATCCAGAGTTGCGACGACCGAAGCACACTCTTCCGTGCATAACCAGCAATATTATGCATCACGTCACAACCACAGGCCCACCTGTGGCATCCAAAGCGCGCCGTCTGGCCCCCGATAAGCTCAAAATGGCGAAAAGCGAATTCGACCACATGCTCGAACTGGGCATTATTAAACCGTCAAACAGCCCTTGGCATCGCAATTGCACATGGTTCCCAAAAAGGATAGCAACGACTGGCGTCCAACCGGTGAGTACCGAAGGCTTAACGCCAAAACAACTCCAGACTGCTACCCGATACCTCACGTTTACGATTTGACTGCAACCTTATGCGGAATGAACATTTTCTCCAAAATCCACTTGGTCAGAGCGTACAACCAGATACCTATGGCAGCAGAAGATATCGTGAAAACGGCCATTATTACTCCTTTTGGCCTGTTTGAATTCCTGCGCATGCCATTTGGTCTTCGGAACGCAGCACAAACATTCCAACGCTTTATGGATGATGTCTTCCGTGGTCTGAATTTTGTTCACGTCTACGTCGATGATTGTCTAATTGCGAGTCCAGGTAAGGAAACTCACCTCAAACATTTGGACCTCGCATTCGAAAGACTTAAGAAACACGGCATCACAGTCAACTTACAGAAGTGTGAAATGGGAGTTGAATCATTCAGCTTCCTTGGGCATACCATTGATAACAAGGGTATACGCCCATTGAGAGATAAGGTGGCGGCTATCACAAACTATCCAGAGCCAACCACCGTGAAACATCTTCGCACTTTCAATGGCCTGGTAAGTTATTACCGAAGGTTCATCCCCAACTGTGCCTCTGTCATGAGACCACTAACAGATCAACTTCGAGGGACTACGAAGTCCGTGACTCTAGACAACGTGGTTAGACTTGCCCTCTCCAAAGTCAAGGAAGCCAGTTCAAACGCAACTATGCTTATGCAACACGACCCCAATGCTCCTTTAAGTATTGCTTTTGATGCATCTGATTCAGAAATTGGAGCAGTTTTGCAACAATTGTCTGACAACCAAGTAAGTTTAACAGTCAGTGCAAACTCACCCAGACGTATCGTGGTCGATCTACTCCTGCGTATTTTTGTGCTCCTGTAACAAATTTCGCCTGCTGCTCGCTTTTTTCATTCACTTTTCAGATTTACCTAACCAGTCCTGCATTCAAATTGAATCCTACAAATCGCATCCGTCAGTGGGAAATATTGCCATCAAAACGTTATGACCAACGCGTACACTCAAGGTCATGGCCGTGATGCGGCCTCACCTTCAAGAATATTGGATGATTCAAACGATGACCGGATAATCTTCAAATTCGAACTGGGCCTGCTTCAACACACCTATATGCCATAAACCACAGCATCTAATGTATAGGATAACATCGTACATAATAGTCATCTCTCATCACCAAAGCGATCAAACCTGTTAACTGGTTTGTATTCATGTAACCTTTGTTGTATGAAATATATTGTTATTAACCAGTGGCAACCGTTAGCCTTTCTCTCGAGGCGGCTGCATGACGTGGGAATAAACAGTACATTTTGTAGGTGTTGTGATACTTCAGTCTTGCATAAAACATTGTTATCGGTCCGAACATTTTAACGTGTCATTCCCACATTATTTATACTTTATGACCAATAGTCTATTTCTGCTCCCATTGTAATGTAATTTGCTGATTGGTTAACTTTTACTCCTACTATGCGAATTTCTCCAATTGCGGATAAGGCCATTTTTCATGTGTATACTTATTCACGTGTTTTGGAATGATTCATTGTTATTATATTCTCGGAGTAATACGCTCTCCATCTGCCAGCTTCGGTCTTCTCTCTATTCGTCCCGGGGTTCCAGCCAGTGTCTTTTGCGTACCAAGATAGCTGTCAGCCAAGCGCGCGTGTTATATTCGTTTCGGAATATATACATATACCATTAGCGCCTTGAACCCATAACAGTAGGGAACTCCTAGCTATATACTGTTCTGTACGCCACTTTCGACATTCGGTGGAAGATCATGATTTCATTATTTTCACAGACCACAAACCGTTAATCTTCTCCCTCGGCTCGGCGTCTGACAAATACTCCTCGCGTGTCTCACGACGACTGGATTACATTTCCCAGTTCACGTCAGACATCCGCCACATTTCTGGAGCAAATAACTCCGTAGCCGATGCACTATCACGGATAGCTTCGATAAATCATATCGAGGGAGTTGATCTCGTTGAACCAGCCAGGCGTCAAAAGGAAGACCTTGAGCTGCATCATGAGTTGTCGTCCACAGCTCTCAAGCTGCGACTTTGTCCGGTTGGATCAGACAAGCATACAATTTCGTGCGATGTCTCCGCTAGTCAACCGCACCCAGTAGTCCTGAAGAGTTGCCGACGCGACGTCTTTAATTGTTGCAAAAACTGTCCCATTCAGGTATGCGAGTCACCATTAGGCCTATTGCACAACTTTTTTGCTGGCTTGGGATGAACGGAGACCCAAAGGTGTGGGCCCAGTCGTGCTTAACTTGTCAGAAGTACAAAGTCACACGACACACGAAAAGCCCTTTAGGCTCATTTCTAGCCCCAGACATGCGTTTCGACCACGTTCATACACACACTGTAGGACCCCTACCAGAATCTAATGGATGCACCTACCTTTTCACTTGTGTTGATCGTTTCACACGATGGCCGGAAGCAGTACCTATTAGGATATTGCTGCTGAAACAGTCGCTCGTGTTTTCATAGAAAGATGGATCGCGAACTTCGGATGTCCATCTTACGTCACGACCGACCGTGGGCGCCAATTTCAGTGTTGATTATTTCACGCTCTAACGGCACTTTTAGGTTGCACCCGGTTCCGAACGACAGACTACCATCCACAAGCAAATGGCATGGTAGAGCGTTTTCATCGACAGTTGAAAGCTTCCCCTTCAGCTGCAAACATTCCTCAGTGGACCGAGGCTCTGCCTCTAGTCCTACTAGGTATTCGTAACGCCTTGAAAGTTGATGCTGGATGTACTCCTGCAGAACTCGTCTATGGGACCACTCTTTGCCTACCAGGTGAGTCTGTTTCTCCTTCAACTTTCAAACATGTTTCCGACAGGGCATCGTACGTGACTAGGCTTACAAACGCAATGCGTTCAGTTAGGCCTTCTCTGGTTAGACCTCAAACGACTGATGTCTTCGTTCACCCCAGTTTACAAAAGACGTCACGCGTGTTTATTCGCCACGACGCCGTTCGTCGACCACTTGAACCATCCTGCGACGGGCCTTTCAAAGTGATCAAGAGACACGAGAAATTCTACATAATTGAGCGAGATGGACGTGAAGATACTGTTAGTATCGACCGTTTGAAACCAGCTTATTTCGACTGCAACCCCATTATAAGCGACGTTTCAGCTGGTTATAGCCTACCGACGGATAGCCCAATTATCGAGATTCTTGACGATGTGCCTGGTAATGCACAGTTGCAACAACGGTCGGCGCAACAGAAAACGCGATCAGGTCAAACCGACAGGTTCCCGGAGTGTTTAAAGTAGTATTCGACTTATTGGTGTGAAGTGAGATGCGCCAACCATTTTTAAATGAATAAGTAAATGTTTTATTCTAAAATTAAGAAGTTTTAACACGAGAGAAGCCAGTTAACAGGCTTCATCACGTTGATACATCTCAAAATGTCTGCAAGACTTAAGCCCTGAGTGGTACTGATGGAATGTCATTAAACTCAATTAAAAACTGCCGAAGGTCCTGCTACTTATGAAACGAACAAGGAAATATTACTTTACAGCGTACATAGAATGTTAAAGTTTAGATAATGGTAAATAGTGTCTTCATTTAACAGGTTTAACTTGAGGGATGCCAGTTAACAAGCACTGTCAAATTCATAACTTTTGAAAGTATGTGGTATCAAGTAATTTACATATCAAGTCATTAGTGTGCATAATCTTATTGAACGTTGCTGAAATCCATGAGACGGATATGGATTGCCATCTCCCATCACATAGATAGGTTCCATTATCAATATCAATAGCGCGCAGTGTTCAAAGCTTGCGTTGTAGCCAACCGACGTTGTTAGTCCATTCGCATAGTTTGCCGATTAGCAATATAGTAGTTTATTACTTAGAACGGTCTTCAGTTTTTAGCTTCGCTAACCACAAAGGACCCATCTATACAATCTAGAGTATCAATAAAGTATCCACAGTTATATAACCAACGTGTATGGCTATATCAATGCATATCCAGGACACGATGTTACTCTTAAAGGTAATATAGATTAATTCTGTTGGGAATACTTGTTGTATTGGATGAAAATAGATGTTGAAACAGTCAATAGTCTATAGACTTCGAGTATCTTTTGTATTAGCATAGGCAGCATCATTCGAGAATATGAGTCCTTTAGTGAAGCAACTACATCATCTATCTTCCTCTGTGTAAAGGAAACTTACAGCGAGTGGTGTGGTGGAATGAGCACTTTTATGTTTAGTACACTATCTTCGTGCGTGAAGCAGCTTGCATAATGTTTACTAAACAGCTGACAGATCTTGCTTGGGTCATCATAAAGAATGTCTCTATCAATGATCAGACTACTAGCGGTTGTGAGTTAGAGTTGAGAGCAGCTGATTCGGCAGCGTCATCATTTGAACGGCAAGAGGCGCTAATAATTTTTGAAGCCCGCGAAAATTTGAGTTTTCAGAATGAGTCCTGGGTATGGGCGTCTGCGGAAATGAGCCAAGTAAATCTGTGGTTTCACTTCTGTATGGGAAGGGGTAGGGTGTAATATGTTGGGAAGCCAGTATCACGGGCTGCATCTGAACAGCAGGTCTCCAATTAGGAGGTGATATCGTTGTGCTGGGGAGAGCATACATTGGATTTGAATGTTGTGTAAATGGGTGTAAGGAGAAAAACCTATCGTTTCTCCTGTAGCCCTTGTCTTCGTGACCATGGGAGGCATTTGTGTTCTGAACATTCTTACGCATGTTCCCTTTCTTTTACCACCTTGGTGTATGAATCCTACCTTTCTGTTGATCAGTGAGGGTGCCATAGTGCTTGGTGTCATATCGAAGGACGTCGTGAATGTGTCTGCGTAAGAAAACGGGGTCACTCTTCGAATGGCGTTATAACTATTAGGTTTAACAGTTTGAATGTAATTACTTCGGGGCTGGCTGAAACGTTTCTGTGCCATTGGCCTTGTTGACGAAACGAGAAAAGCGGAGTTGGAAACAGTTAAAAATTTCAACATGTCTTTCGGGGCATCACTTTCTTATTTGCTGGCAATGCTATAAATCCTCCCACATTTTGCCTTTATATGTCATTTTTTCGCTACTACTGAAGTGGGCGTTGCTGGTAATAACGGATATAAGAAGTATATATGGAGAGGATGGCAAAAATTATAGGGAATTACTGGCAATGGGTAAGGTTTCTGTCAAGAGCAACACAGGGGATAACACAGGCGTATTACAGTGGACGCTGCTGATAAGAGTGTATGAAGAGCCGGTCAAGAGCAAATCAAGACAGGAACAGAGAGGAGACGAAGACATTTGCAAATGGCTGCGTTAGTGCAAGCAGTACCATATGTAACCACTACCATTCCGATTGTTCGTAATAAACATTCTCCCGTCGAGTTGTCTTCTGTTTCTTCAATTGACGTCGCTGCCTTTGGATGTGATGAATATCCCATGGCCTGCAGAGTTCGAGGATGGATACATCAGGGTCTCCTCAACAAGGACTTCGGAAGGTAGGGGCGCTGGCGGGAGTTCTGGATCCGGAGGCGAAGGTCGTGGTGCTGGGAACGCTGCTGTGGGGCAGAGCGAAAGCAGCATATGAAACATATGAAGCATATGGAGCGTGGTGACAGGAAGGAGACTTGGCGAAGAATGGTTCAGCGCCTGGAGGCGGAGTTCGACAGCTCGGCGGACAGGGGGCAGGCGACGCAGCAGTTCCGCAGCGCGAAGCTAGAAATAGATGAAGATCCGCTGGTGTTGGCTGTGAAGTTGGCCAAACTACTTCGACGAGCGCTTCCCACGTTGGATGAGGATGCCTGACAACAGTTGCTGACCGCACAGTCCACTGAGAGTGTCACGAATGTCACTGCCCACCAGTTACGACTAGTCAATGCAGCCCGGCCCATGGACATTGGCGAAATGGCCAAGGTGACCAGACAGCTAATGGGTACAGCAGTAGCGACAGTGGAGTCACCAGAGGTAAATAACTGGCAAGAACAAATCAACAACCTTCAGAAAGAGATAGCAGCACTGCGAATGAGCGTCAACAAACAGAGTAAATGCTTCGCATGAGGGAAACCGGGACACTGGCGAAGGAATTGTCCGGAGAGGCGGAAAAGAAAACGTTTTGAACGATATAATATGAGTTCTGTTTTTCCGACTAGACTAGATATCGTAGGAGCCATAGATCGAGGCGCGGTGTATGCTAGATTGCGAATAAATGGTCGGGATATCGTGTGTCTCATAGATACAGGGGCGGCAGTCTCTCTAATAGATAAGAGGCAGTCTCACAACACAAGACCATGTGCGCTAACGGTCCATACGGTTGGGGGACATGCACTGGATATTGCGGGCTTGTCAGATTGCGTTGTTGAGATCGGGAGCCAGAAAATTAGATTCCCATTTATTGTGACCGCGCGCCTACAACGCCCAATCCTAGGTGCCGATTTTCTGAGAGAAGTGGGTGCAGTGATTAACACGAGAACAGGAATAGTGGCAACGAAGTACGGGTCGTTCAACACTCAGGAAAACAGCGAGGTAGCAGAGATTGAAGTACCAAAAGCACCGTACCCAGAAACGCCAAACATCATGAAGGTGGTTAAGAAATACGACAGATTGTTCACAGGAGATGGAGACCCCTATGGTTATTGTGACAAGGTTCAGCATGAAATCCCAGTGACCAGTCAGGTAACGACAACATTCATCACACGGCGAATACCATGTCACTTGGAACAAGAAGTTGGGCGCCAGGTTCAGGAAATGCTAGATGAAGGTATTATTGAAGAGGCTGACAGTCCATACAGTTCTCCAGTACTTTTAGTAAGAAAGTCAAATGGGAAATATAGATTCTGCGTGGACTTCCGGGAGTTAAATAGCATAACGCAGCTGAAGCCATGTGCCATGCCGACGATAGCGGAGACACTGGATCGTTTGCAGAATGCGAAAGTATTTACAGTTCTGGACCTCCGCTCGGGCTACTGGCAGCTACCAATAAAAGACAGTGATAAAGAGAAAACAGCATTTATTGTGGGCAAGAAGCAATACCAATTCAAGCGAATGCCATTTGGTCTGGCAGGGGCGCCCTTTACATTTAGACGATTGATGATTTGTTGCTGAAGAATTTAGAGAACGTAGAGGTGTACGGCGATGACCTGGTGGTGTACAGCCAGACGGAGGCAGAACACATAGAATACCTTGAAGCTGTTTTGAGACGTATCGATGAGTTTGGACTCCGCATCAATAAGACAAAATCTCAAGTAGCCAAGAGGAGTGTTACGTTGCTGGGACACAAAGTTGGAAACGGCGAAATAAAACCACTACCCGAGAAAATTCTGACAGTCAGAACTATTCCAGTGCCGAATTCCAAGAGGAAACTGCGACAATTCTTGGGTAGAGCAGCATTCTACAGTCGGTTCCTCAAAAATTTCAATGAGATAGCAGCACCGTTATATAAGCTACTGGGCAACCCCAAATTTGTGTGGACGGAGGAGGCACAAAAACATTTGATCACATCAAAGAACTCCTAAATGACCAGGAGATGACGTTAAAACTACCAATACCTGGTAGGCCATTTATCGTGTCCACCGATGCAAGTGATTATGGAATAGGGGCAGTCCTGAGACAGACTGAAGGAGTAGTGGAGTATGCCAGCCGCATTCTAACACCCGCAGAACAGAAATATTCTACAATGGAAAAGGAATGTCTAGCGATAGTTTGGGCGCTGGAGAAGTGGAGATCGTACCTCCTCGGTCAACGATTCCATATTGAAACGGATCATAAACCTCTACAGTGGCTTAAGACAGCGAGAGACCCCAGAGGAAAATTATCACGTTGGGTGTTACGACTGCAAGAATATGACTTCACCATCGGCCATGTGGCAGGGAAAGAAAACTGGTTGGCAGACTTCTTATCAAGATCTGACGAAGAAAATGAGCTACCTGAGATCGCATACGGCGTACATGCAGTGGAATGGAACCCGTTAAGACTTATTCGCCTTCAGAAGTCGGACCCGAACTGATCAAAGCCATAACTGAAGGGACAGAGACACAAACGTCTGTGGGAGATAAAGAGTTGAGAACGTTGTTGACGCAGAAAGAACGCCTACGGATGAATACTTATGGAATGCTAACGTGGCGAGAAAATGACGGAAGCTGGTTGGCAGTGATTCCGAAATGTCTACGCGACAAAATGATACAAGAATGCCACCAGTTAGCTCATACAGGTGTCTCACGGACAGCTGACCTTCTCAGACAAAGTGCATACTGGCCAGGTATGAGAGAGGATGTTGCCAAATACGTGCTGGGGTGTCCTCATTGTCAACTGATGAAAGGTGATCGGTA